ATGAGGCCCAGCTGTGAAGCAATGCAAGCTACTGTGGGGCCTTGGGCCTTCTTTTGGAAGTTCTGGGTCTCTCTGACCCAGCTGCAGTTAGTTAGGTAATTTTCAAATTACAAACGGCCAGGGCTTTTATATGCAAAAGCCTCTGCACACAGCTTGGGTGGGCTGGGGTCTCGGGGGGATCAACAGGGTGGAGCAAGCAGCTATGGCTGCTCCTCAGTCCTACCCTAAGAGGCCCCTTGTCTCAGTGTCCCGGTAATCGCTGCAAGCACCTCTGAGAGAAAGCCGCCCTCGAGTTCCGCTCGAGGCTAGTCCAGTTTCTCCCTGTATGAGTCTGGGTCCCCAGAGACTCTCCCGGAAATGGAGTTCAGAGCAGTCGGGAGCTTGAGACTCCCAGTTGAAAAAGACAACCGTGTCCTCAGTTGCCAGCCCTTTCCACGTGCGCCTCCGTACCTCTGCACTTTACTTCCGCACCTCCTCTGAGTCTCAGTGTGCTTTTCTCTTTCCTTCTAGTTGTATTTCCACTCAGCCAGTCTTATGATGTCCGTTTTGTCTTTTAGTTGTATTTTTGAAGTTGTTGTGCGAGGCAGCAATTTCAGGTGTTTACCTATGCCGCCATCTTGGTTTCAGGACCCTCTTGATTATTTAGGAGCATGTTATTTAGCTTCCACATATTTGTGTTTTTTCCAGTTTTTTCCTTATAATCAATTTCTAGTTATATACTGTTGTCATCAGAAAAGATATTTCAATACAAAAAAATTCTTGATATTTCAAAAATTCTTAAATATACTAAGACTTATTTCGTGGTCTAATGTGTGCTCTGTCCAGGAAAATATTCCATGTGCACTTGAAAGGAATGTGTATTTTGTTATATTTGGATGGAATGTTTCTGTAAATATCTATTAATTCCATCTGATCTAATGTGTCTTTTAAAGCCAGTGTTTTCATCTTGGTCGTCTGGATGATGTATCTACCCATTGATGTAACTGGGTTGTTAAAGCCTCCTACTGTTATTGTCATACTGTTAATCTCTCCCTTTATAGTGAGTAATTTTTGCTTTATGTACTTAGTCATTTCTATGTTAGATGCATAAATGTTATTATTTTTTTTTTTTTTTAAATTGTTTATTGTTTAAAGTATTACATATGTCTCCTTTTTCCCCCATTGACCTGTCCCCGGCCACTTGCACCCCCCAGCACATGCCCTAACCCCCCCTCCGCCCCTACTGTCTTTGTCCATTGGTTATGCTTATAGGCATGCATACAAGTCCTTTGGTTGATCTGTTACCCCACCCCCAACACCCCCGCCTTCCCGCTGAGATTTGATGGTCTGTTCGATGAGACATTGAACTTCTGTTCCAGTTTGGTGAGGCACAGATATTTTGCAGCTGGACTTCGTTCTGTCATTAAGGATTTTGCTGATAAATTTGCAGCCTTGCTTATACAAGTAGATGAATGTCCCTACTATTAGATGCTCTGTCTTAAAGAGGGGAAAAAAATGCTAAGGGTGGTGACAGTCATTTATAAAATACCTTCATAAAGCCATCAGGCTCCCGAGAATTCTCTGATTAAATTTCATAATAACCTTAATTTCTCTAACTGAATCGCCTCATTAAATTTTCTCTTGGCTTCTGGAGATAGGGTAGGAAGATGAATTAAATTCCAATACCTTATGCTATTCATTGGGCTTGGCAGAGTTCCTTAAAAGGTTTAAATGAGAATAAAGATGGATTACGAACTCTGGTTATCCTCAAATCTTAGCATAGATGTTTTCTGTAGATTAGAAATAATTTCATTTGTGAATGAAATATGGCTTCTGATATTTAAAAACATGAATCTTATTCAACTGCTCCAGGTTTAGACGAGATTGTTGGAATTTGGGGTGGGGTGAGTGGTTTCATTCTATTTCTCTAATTGAGGAAACATGAGAAAGGTTTTCTGAAAGCTCAAAAGCTTTATCTTAAATTTGAGAGGATTTTCTTTTATTATGAAGAACCTGGTAGCATCACACTTGCCTAAAATTCTCCCTTGCTGGGGTCCAGCCCCAGCGAGTCCAGGGATCCCCAAAGGTGTGGACGGAGTCGGCGATGAAGGAATGACATGGAGACAGGGTTCAGTTCATCAGCATAGAGAGGTTCTCCCTCCAGGATCTCCAGCCAAGTTCTGTCCAAGATCTCCAGCCAAGTTCTGTCTAGGTTCTCCAGTGAAGTTCTGTCTCTTCTCCAGCCAAGTTCTGTGTCCATGTTCTCTCGCTAGGTTCTGTAGTCAGGTTCTGTTGCAAGGTTCTCTTGCCAGGTTCTATCCAGGTTCTCCTGCCATGTTCTGTCTAGGTTCCCCAGCCAAGTTCTATAGCAAGGTTCTGCGTCCTGGATCTTTTGCCATGTTCTCTGGCTAGGTTCTGGTTAGGATCTGATGAGGTTCTCCATAAATGTTATTATTATGTAATGCCTTTCTTCGGCTTTTATTAGAGACTGTTTTAGTCTATTTTGTGTGTATTTTGTAAGTATTCCTACACCAGCTTTCTTTTCATTGCTATTTGCATGAAATATATTTTTTCCTTCAATTTCAGTCTGTGTGTGTCTTTATAGCTGAAGTAATTTTTATAAGCAAATATGTATGACTCTTGTTTTTATTGTTCATTCAGCCACTCTGTGTCTTTTGATTGGAGAATTTAGGTCACTTACATTTAAAGTAATTATTGATGGGTATGTACTTATTGCTTCTTTATTAATTGTTTTCTGGTTGTTTTTGTAGTTCTTCTCTGTTTCTTTCTTCTTCTCTTGTTCTTTTCCTTTGTACATTGATGACTTTCTGTAGTGTTATGTTTGGATGCCTTTCTCTTTATTTTGTATACCTGTTTTATTTTGTGTACAGGTTTTTGGTTTATGGCTACCATGAATTTCACATATAACACCCGATGATAATAGTAGTTTAAGTTAATAGTTGCTTAAATTCAACTTATTTTAAAAGCACCATTTTTTTACTCATCCCCCCATATATTGTTTTTAACATTATATTTCACATCTTTGTGCATGTGTATGTCTCTTAACTAATTTATTCCAGATACTTGTTATTTTAAACTGCTTTTCTCTTGCTACGTTTAAAATTATCTTTGTCTTTAACTTTTAGCATTTTAATTATGTGTTTTGTGGGTTTCTTAAGTTCATCTAGTTTGGGACCTATGTGCTTTCTGACTTGGATATCTGTTTCCTTCACCAGGTTAGGGCAGTTTTCAGCTATTATTTCTTCAGATAGGTTTTCTGTCCCTCTCTCTCTCTTCTTCTGGGACCCCTATGGTGAGAATGGTAGCACACTTGATGTTGTCCCAGAGGTCCCTTAAACTATTTTCACTTTCTGAAATTCTTTTTTCTGTTTCAGTTAGGGTTTTCCACTACCTTGCTTTTCAGTTCACTGATTGATTCTTCTGCATCATCTAATCTGCTATTAATTCCCTCTAGTGTATTTTTTTCTTTTCAATTATTATATTCTTTAGTTCTGATTGGTTCTTTTTTTATATTTTCTATCTCTTTGTTGGGGCTTTCCCTGAGTTTATTTATTCTCCAATTTTATTGACCAACTTTGTAGCCATTGCTTTCAACTTTTTATCTGGTAGATTGCTTGTCTCCATTTCATTTAGTTCTTTTTCTGGGGTTTTGACTTTTTATTTTGCTTATAGCATAATCCTTTTTCTCCTCATTTTGTCTATCTCTTCATGTTTGTTTCTATGTAGTAGGTAGACCAGCTACATCACCACATTTTGAAAGAGTGGCCTTATGTAGGTGTGCTGGGGGTATCTTGTGGTGCAGTCTTCCCTACACAGGGGAGCTGGGAAATGACAAAAGGGGAGAGCATTATCTAGATATATGAATAATAGCCTTGTGTCACAATGGCCCGTAGTATTCCGTCCGGTAACAAGCTGTCCAGGTTTGTAGTTTAGGAGCAATCTGCTATGCCATATAGCCTAGGTATTTGGTAGGCAATGCCATTTAGATTTGTGAAAGTACATTCTACATGTACCCACAATGATGAAATTGCCTAACAATACATATCTCAGAATATATCCCCATAGATAGGTGGTGGTACCAGACTAATTTTCTAGGCCATCATATTGGACAGAGAGGGAAAGGAAAAAATAAGTCTGTAATAAATATTACACAAGAAAAAAGCAGTGTTGGTCTATATGAATGTTATTCAGCCAGCTACATCTGATGACTTTTAATGATCTGAAGAACTTTAAGATGATATGACTACCTGGACCTTGCTAAAGCTAGCATTGTCATAGGCCTTCTGGACTCATGTTTAATGATGGCAATAGAACTAAAAGCAAATATGTTTATTTAGTATGTATTTATTCCCAGAAATCTTATGTACATTTAACCTGATGCCTCATGGAGTACTGTAAGTGGTGAGTAATAAGGAAAAAAGATTAAAAGGTTTTTTTTTCTGCCCGGTATAGCTCAGTGATAGAGAATTGACCTATGAACCAGGAGGTCATGGTTCAATTCCCAGTCAGGGCACATGCCTGGGTTGTGGGCTTGATCCCTAGTAGGGGGCATGCAGGAGGCAGTCAACCAATGATTCTCTCTCATCATTGATGTTTCTATCTCAATCTCCCTCTCCTTTTCCTCTCTGAAATCAGTGAAAATATATTTAAAAAAATTTTTTCCCCAAGGAATTTATCATCTTAAAATGATAATACAATATTCGTTTCATTTCTGTAGCATTTCTTTCTTTTCCCAACATGCTCTGAACCCTGCTATTAGAGGAAATACATAAAATATAATGGGTTATGGTAACAATGTGTAAATAATTTCCAGGTGTTCGTGATGGCATTAAATTTATGAGAAAGTAATTGTGGACAGAGTGTAAGTTTCTGATGACGAAGTCTTAGAGTAAATGTTTGGAGATGACAGAATCATATGTAACTTCCCTGTAAATGGAGTCTAGGTGTTCAGTGCAGTCCATCTCATAAATTTTACTGTACACGTATTTGTGATGTTTTAGGACTCAGTGACATTTGAGGATGTGGCTGTGAACTTTAGTCTGGAGGAGTGGGCCTTACTGGATTCTTTACAAAAGAAACTCTACAAAGATGTGATGAGGGAAACCTTCAGCAACCTGGCCTCCATAGGTAAGGTTGACAAGTTACCCTTTACTTCCTCATCTGAAGGATAAGTCTTTCTTATCCGTCAACATTGTGCTAACATGTAATATAGGAATAGAGGACATTGATAAATAAACTAGGCATAGTCACAGCTCATTATAGAACTAGAATCTAATAATTTTTCTACAATTTCTAATACTTTGGAATCCTATTTCTTGGTCTGAATTTTAGGGGGAAAATGGGAAGATCACGAAATTGAAGATCAGTACAAAAACCAGGGGATTAAACACAGGTGAGTAACATTCACAATAGAAAGCAGTGTCTCAGATGAGAAAACAATTATGCTATAAAAATTTTAGAAGAATTTTCCCAGCCCAGCTCAGTGGTTGAGCATCAACCTATGAACCAGGAGGTCACAGTTCTATTCCCAGTCAGAGCACATGCCCAAGTTGTGGGCTCATTCCCCAGTAGGGGGTGTGCAGGAGGTAGCCGATCAATGATTCTCTTTCATCATTGATGTTTCTATCTCTCTCTCCCGCTACTTTCCTCACTGAAATAAAATATATATATATATATATATATATATATATATATATTTAAAACAAATGAAAAAAAAATCAATCTAAACTACCCCTGCTTCAAATTACTTCTCAGAAATTTTTTACTAAAGTACTTTTTATATGTGACGTAGATGTTTAGTGTTTGCAAAAATAGTTTACATGCAAAGAGCATTCATGAAGCTAAATATGAAGGTTATTTTTTTTATAATAGCAAGGCTGAAGTTGTCTTGCAGAAATTTTGGTGTATTCAATGTCCAACAATTTGTACAAGACAGTAAACCTATACTTAGCAGTAAATCATAAAGATGTAGTCCAAATATTCTTCCAATAAGTATAAAATTATTAACAAAGAAATTAATAATGTGCTTCTTATTTTTTGCAGAAGTCAAATGGTAGAGAGGAGCTGCAAAAGGAAGGAGGATAGTCAGTGTGGAGAAAACTTAACCCTTATTCCAAATCTCAATCTGACGAAATCTCTTCCTGGAGCAAAACCATGGGAATACAGTGCATGTGGTGAAGTCTTCATGCATCATTCATCCCATAATAGGGACATTAAATGTCAAACTAGACACAAGACCTCTGAGAATCAGAAATATGGAGAGAAACCATATAAATGTAGTAGATGTGGGAGAGCCTTCACTTATATTCAGTTGTTTGAAAAACATGAAAGAAATCACAATGGAGAGGAGTCTTATAAATGTGAGGAATGTTGGAATGCCTTCAGGTGGCTCAAAAGCCCTCAAAGACACATGATCAAACATACTGCAGATGCTCCTTATAAATGTAAGGAGAGTTTGAAAACCTTTAGTTCTTCAGTTTTTCTTCAAACGTGTGAGAGAAGCCACATTGTAGAGAAGCCCTATCAATGTAAACTCTGTGGAAAAGCCTTCCGATATTATAAAAGTTTTCAAAGACATGAAAGGAATCACCCTGGAGAGAAACCCTATGAATGTAAAAAATGCAATAAAGCATTCAGGTATCCCAGTCA